CCCCAATTTTACTACTTGAGAATTTTTCCTTTCTAAGGTTCTCTAATGGTTTCTTCAATAAGAGTGCCAGCCCCAAATCAGAGGGGCATGCGTGGATGGCTGGGTGGTACCTCAACTTCTTTCTTCCTTTCTTCCTTCCTTTCTTTCTCTTCCTTTCTTTCTTTCTTTTTCTTTCTGTCTTTCTTTCCATCCTTCCTTCCTTCCTTCTTTTCTTTCTTTTATATATATATTTTTCTTAAGTACCTTTCACCAGTCTGTCTCACTTTCGGTTTATTTATTTATTTTGTTTGTTGTTAATGGAGGTGCCAGGGATAGAACCCAGGACCTTGTGCACGCTAAGCACACACTCCACCTCTGAGCTGTACCCTCCCCCCACAACCTCTTTCTCTGTCCCTTTAAGTCCCTCCTACAGAATGAGGTCCGCAGTCGGTATTTAACAAGGGACTGTTAATCATTTTAAGGAAGAAGAAAAACACTCCCTTTCACCACTGGTGTTAGAAAGCTTTGACAAGACTTTCCCCGGATGTGGCTTTCTCACGTGGCTCAAGCGACTTCCCCACTCGTGTGAGTGCTTTCAAACATCTGCAGAAAATCTCTTCACCACAACTTCCACTCACCACAGGGCTGACACTGGCAAACTGCCACCAGGCTCTGACTTTTCAACCAGCCATCCAGCCCACCCCCTAAGTCACTGCTACTTTCCAGAACCCAGACTGGAGACCTGCACCAGGCCCCTCTTTTCAGAGGACCACTTCTCAGTGAGCTGGACTGACTGTCCATCTCAGTGAACGGGACAAGTTTCAGTGAGTTGTACGAATTGCGGTTGGTTCAGTCTGCCTGTGCCTTCTTTTTCTTGGCATCTTTGCCGAGAGTCCTGGCACATGGCCTTTCTTGGCTCTTGGCCTGTGTTGATAGTGACTGGATAATTCAGAGGTCAGGACAGGACTACAGATATGGAAACAACTGCACAGTAAAGAATGGGAGATAATGGCTGGCTTTTCAGTGAACACGTAGGGAAGCAAGATGAATTGTTCACCAGTTTGGTGATTTACAGCCTAAGATTCTTTAGTGCCTAAGACACGTTTTATGATATTTAATGTGCTCAGGAATGTAATTCTATTTGGGTAGCTCAACACACAAATAATTTGGAAAGCACAAGAAGGTGATATTCAAAAAGCATCCTTCCAGACAACTCTGAGCATGTTCCATTGATTAACATCTGGGAACCAACAACAGCCACTCTCTGAGCTAACCTGAAGGAAGACCTTTATGGGGATGGAAAAGTTGGTATAAGGTTACTCATGTTTGCCCAAATCAAAGGCAGATGGGAATTCCAATGCATAAAAGCATTAAATAGTACACAAAGCAACCATCGTTATCATTTTTGCAAACATTCATTTCATTCACTATGTGATTAAAAATGCAGAGCACGGTGCAATCCTGAGGTCAGTGTGAGAACACAGCTTCTCCTTGACATGGCCTTCCTATGATCATGCAAGTTCATGCCTTAACGTCTTCACACAGACCTCGGTGTATTGGCACGAACGCTATCTCATGTAAAGTTTTGTTTCCCTGCAGCTGCCAAGATAATGTCTTGGTATTTCGGTCTGTCAAATGCTGCTTCCTGCTAGTATCTGCTGGTAGTCAGCACAGTAGATGGAAACGTGGACCCGACACAGATCTCTAAACGACGCCAAGAGAGTCAAGGAATCTGTGGTTGCCAGGGGTTGAGGGAGGTGCAGGGAGGGGACCGCTTACTGGGTAGGGGGCTTTACTTTGGAGGGAGGGAAATGTTTTGGAGCTAGAAACAGGTGTTAGCTGCATAAATAATGGTCAGTGTACTAAATGCCACTGAACCGTTCATTTCAGTGGTGAGTTTTATGCCATGTGAATTTCACCTCGATACGTCATTTTCAATAAAAGTCAAAGATGACCCCACAGAGTCTGAGGCCCACCAAGCAAACAAGCAAGACAAAAGTGGGGGGGGGCACGGTTTCACGCGGGATGAGACGCCAAGCCCCCCAGACTGGCAGGCACGGGAGACCCAAGGTCACCCGGGGAAAGGCAGCAACTGGCAGCAGCACCATCGGGACGCAAAAGCGTGAAAAGGAAAGAAGACGTCTGGGGAGGCAGAGGGGCCCTAGAAAGAAAGCACGGCTACCTTCCAGCTCGCAGCCCAGCAGCTCCATCCTGAGCCCGAGCCCACCGTGGGTGGCTCTCTCCGGGTAGATCCTGACGAACCGCGTGGAGAGTGGCGGGAACGTCCGCAGCTCGGGCGTGTCGTAGTTGTTGTTTCCCTCAAATGACTGCGAAGGACAGAGAACGGCGGGTGTCAACAAAACCTCCCCTTCAGCACAAGAGTTCCTCCTTTAGGACACTTCACGGGCTGAGAAATGGGGCTCATTCCCCCCGCTTTGTGAACGGCTGGCATGCCCCTCATAAATAAGAGAAAAAAACAATTAAACCTTCTCTAGGAAATGACAGCTGCCGTTTCTCAGAGTCTAGAGGACACACCATGGCTATATACCAGAAGTGGAGGGTTTAATGAGACACATTTTTATTTATTATTATTACTTTAACCTTTTTATTCTTTTTTTGGGGGAGGAGGTAATTAGGTCATTTATTTATTTAAATGGAGGGACTGGGGACTGAACTCAGGACCTCACGCATGCTAAGCATGTGCTCTACTACTGAGCTGTAACTCTCCCCACTTAGAAGTAACACTTTTACCACTTCCTTGAGATGGAGGAAGTTAACTCAGGAAGAGAGCTTGCCATTTTTTGGAGCGGATAATAGACACCCCATTTCCAATAACTACCCCCAACTGTGTTCTCTTAAATGAGTGGGTCCTTGTCTTTGCTAAAACTTGGTCTTCCAGAAGAGCGAGGAGTCACATTCCCGAAGAAGGAGACAATCAACTGGGTATCATGCAACTCAAGAACCTGGGGCAGTGCAACCCGCTGAACTGCTGTTTGCTCAAGCAGTACCAGCACCCGGAGGCTCCTGCAGATAAAAGGCCTCATCTCAGGAAGGTAAGAGGGTCCCGACCGCTGAGTGATGTTCCGATGGCCGGCTGCCCTGCAGTGAGTGGGCATCTCTTGGTGAAGACACACTTCAGGAGCCCGGCTGTTCTGGCCTTGCTGCCCCCGGATTATTTTATGTCCCTTTTTACATTGACAGGCAGGCCCTTGAGTGGCATGACTGGGCCAGTCTCCTTTTTCCAGAGATGGATGAGCCTCCCTGCATCCTCTTCTCCCAACATCACTCCTAACTCTGTCCAGAATGGGAAGAGGCTGAGCAGGATCACAAAATCAACCTGCCTCATGGCTGGGAGCATCCCTGCTGAGATCAGACGTCCCGTGGTGTGAACCGGTGCAAGGCACTGTTCTAAGTGCTTAGATGGCCCTAGCTCACTCAATCCTCAGGACAACTCCAGGAGGCAGGTTCTATGATTACCTTCCTTTTCCAGGCAAGGCAGAGAGGCCATGGAATTGCGACCTGGTGGTCTCACCTGGCCCCTTCTCCACGCTGCCCTGAGAAACAATCCAGTCCCATCTCCTCATTTTAACAGATGACCACACTCGGGTCCGGGACACTGAGGCCCATTCCCACAGCCACACATTCCATTTGATTGCTTTTTCTTTAAATGGATTGCAGCTTGGGCTTCCAAACCTGAAAGTTCACATTGAGCGTTGCAGGGTGGAGGGGCAGCCCAAAGCCATGTCCAGCAGGGGTGGGACCCACGCCCAAGAAATAGGGTCTTTGGTCAAGCTGAGTCACGACATCACACACCAGCCAAAGAGGCCATCATTTGGTGGTGGAAATATTTTGGCCAAACAGGGGGACACACGAAAAAGAAGACAGATCAGGAAGGATGTGCTGCAGTCAGAGGTTTTCTGAGTTCTAGAAGTAAACTGATTGGCTTTTTCCAACTCAGCAAATCCTCCAGGAATCTACAGGTATGGAGCTAATATACACCTGCTTCTCTTGGTTAATGTTTCTTTCTATCATTTTCAAGGGCAAATTCATTACTGGGGCCCTGTACTCTTGACAGACCTGCAGTGGCTGCTGGTAATTGAGAATCTGACGTCCATCACTGTCAGGCCCAATTAAGTGTCGTCAGTAAGACACTAACAATGAAAACAGCGTGACGACACGTGGGAGTTCCGTCTCCATTAGCGTAACCCCAGCGATCACAGGAGAAAAGCACTTGTATCTTCGGAATCCCACACTCTGCTACCTTTTCTTTAAATTCAAGTGCAGTTGATTTCCAATGTGGTGTCGGTTTCAGGTGTGCAGCTCAGTGATTCAGTTACACACACAAATATATTCTTTTTCAGATTCTTTTCCACGATAGGTTATTACAAGACATTGAATGCAGTTGCCTGTGCTACACAGTAGCTCCTTGTTGTTTGTCTGTTTTATATTCTTCTGCTTTTAACTTGAGCGAAGAGTTAGCACGATGTACCTACGTCATAAGGGCTGTCAGTGGGGAGGTGGGAAGAGGGTCGGCAGGGAGGGGCCGCATGGAGCTGGGCTGAGTCTGCTGATGTAAGGTTGCTGATAAAATACTTTTGTGTCCTTTCACGAGTCATGCTTTAGGAGAAGAGGATTTCGAGTATTTCGATGGATCTGCCCCCGAAAGGTCTAGTTGATTCAGACCCTGATAGTCCACCACACACTAGTTAAGGGTAGGGAGTAAGAAGGGGACATAGAGGTTTTTAAATCCATCAAAGTGCTTTTCTGTATAGCAAAACAGAGTGCTCCTTTTGTGGTTCAGTAATGGTACCTAAAGTAGGTAACCTTCATTTGCAAGTTCAAACACAGTAAGTTTTAAACGTCTGTGTGCCATTTAGAAATCTGTATGGCTCTGAAATGGAAGGTCTCCCCAGCTCCCTTTTCCATCTTGGAGATTTTAGTCCGGGGGCTGGCCACGTTAGGAATCCCAGATCAGGCACCATGTAAACAACTTAAAAGCTTTTATGGTTTAAATACACAGGAAGATGATAATGATGGATAAAATCACATTTTGGGAATAAAATCTAACACATGCAGCCAATCTTGAATGGAGCTTGTGGTTAAAATGGAAAGCGGTGTGTTGGCTTCTATCCGCCACATCCTAACAAGGAGCGACAGCTCTGGACTTGACTGCAGATGAGAGGATTAAGACGACAAAGGCCGGAAGCAGGCGACGCATCCCATCCAAGGCATATGGTAATTTGTTTTCTTTCCCTCTCAGGACCCTACACAACAGCACACACAGCCGTGCGTCAGTGGCTCTGGGAAGTTGTTGATATGCAGCAAATTCACACTTGGTGATAAAACCGCAGGGCTCCCGCCTCCTTCAAAAAGACCGGCTCTTAGGGGAACTCCAGTTTCTGATGTTTATTTGACTTTTTCTTCCACCAAAACAAGAGAGGTTGACATAAAAGGGGAAAACGAAATGGACACAAGAAAGAAAGGAGCTGCGCACAGATTAAGGAAAACACTGTAAAGGCTTTAGAAACCACAAGTTAGAGGGAGGGGTTGTTACATTTCCAACAGCATCGTCCCCCTTGGTGGCCCGCAGGCACACAGCCCGTGGGGACCGGCGGTCTCGGCAGAGCACCTGACATCTGGGCAGGGTGGGAGCTGGCTGCAGGGACCGGCTTCGCTGCCTGCCTGCAAAGCCTTTGGCCCAAGACACTGTATTAAGTTATATTCCCACACTCACTCAGAGTGGGAGCGAGGACAGCGTTCCCGCCAATGAGCTGAATCTTCTTGCAGAAGGAGTAGGTCCTTGGCAAAGCAGGACAGAAAGGCCACAGTTGGGACCCAAGGCCAGTTGTGCTGAGGCGAGAGGAATCAGCAGTGAAATGCAACTCCCACCTAGGGGTCTGCACACAGAGCTGCTAGGCTGGGGGCTGCTCCTTCTTTTACTCTCAAAGCAGTGCCGGGCCACCCAGCACACCCCGGTGTCCGTTCCTTGTTGGCATCGTGTGCTTAGGAAATGCAAAGACATTTCAGCATCGGCCTTAGTAAAGCAATCACTGAAGAATACCTATTGCTTTAAAAAAAGATTAAACCACGTGTTCTGGTGAAGCTTGGAATATTTCTTTTTTTCACTAGTTCATCAAGGGCCAACTGCATTTTAAAAGGTCCCAATGCATACAAAATTGACTTAAGCATTATTCACGAGAGCCAAAAGTTACAAGCAATGAGACTGTCCATCAGTGGACGAATAGACACACAACACGTGGTCTGTACATACCATGGGATTATGTATGTTCCTGAAAAGGATCGGAATTCTGACACAGGCTACCACACGGATGAACCCTGAGAACACTGTGCCAAGTAAAATAAGCCCGTCAGAAAAGAAGAAATATTGTATGATTCCCCTTCCATGAGGCTCCCAGAAGCCTCAAATTCACAGAAACAGAAAGTACAATAGTGGCTGCCAGGGACTGGGGGTGCGGCGGATGGAAAGTTATTGCTTAATGGGGACAGAGTTTCAGTTGTGCAAGATGAGGAGGCCCTGGAGGAGGACCGCATAGTAGCGTGAATGCACATAACACGACTGAGCCATCCGCTTGGAAGGGTTAAGACGGCAAATTTTCTTTTACTGTCTTTCGGCACAATTATGAAACTTCTGAAAACCGTAAAGCGCCATAGAATTGAAAGACGCATTCAATTAAAAAATAACAATAAAGGGGAAGGTATAGTTCAGGAGGTAGAGTGCATGCTTAGCATGCAGGAGGGCCTGGGTTCAATACCCGGTACCTCCTCTAAAAATAAATGCATAAATAAACCTAATTATCTCCCCCCTTAAACAAAAAATTAAAATAAATAAATAAAATAAAATAAACAATAAAAAGGTAAAAAATAAAATAATTTAAAAAAAGACAACTTAATCGAGGGATGAGGGAGACAAGGGCACTGGGGGTAGGTGCTTATTGAGAGATCAGCCTCCAAGGGCAGATTCTGAGTTCCTTCTGGGTTGCCTGGGGGTCCCCCGGCCCCACCCTCCCAGCTGTTCTGTCCTCTTAAGTGTCCGGCCAGCAGCTGGTCACTAAGGGAGGGAAAGGTGGCCGGCAACACGATTCTGCCCTCTTTTGTCCCAGACGTGGTTTCCGCATCCCATTCCTGTCTCCCTTGGAGTCGGCCCGGAAAGACTCCATCACACGCCCCTACAGGTCTCACGGCTTCAGGAAATGGGAAGCCGCTTCCCCAGGAAGAGGTCCGGTCCTCGAGTGGAGTCAAGACGGCGAGGGAGGGTCTCTTCCTGCCCCGCCCTGGCCCCACCCCCACTGGCACAGGCCCCGCCGCGCCCCAGCCTCCGCCCACCACCCTGCCCAGCCCCGCCCAATCCCACCCAGGACCCGCCTCTGCCCCGCCCACCTCACCTTGGGCTTGTGCCGGCCCTCGTCCATCAGCATCTTCCAGTCTGAGCCGTTGTTGCTGTATCCGATCTTGAACTTCCGCATGAACACCTTGTTCTCTCGGTGCTTACCGCCCTGGATGATGACGCCCCGCACGATCTTCTCCTCCCCCAGGTCCACCTGGAGCCACTCGTTCACGTACGGGTGAGGGGCCGGGGGCAGCGCCCAGCCCGAGCGACTGGTCACCAGGCGGATGTTTTCAGGCATCCAGTTCCTTTCCCCTTGGTTGGATGCTGTGATCTGGGAGTCGGAAATAAGTCCGGACACCATCCCCAGCATTCCAGAGCAAGGATAGTCTAGAGGGGGAATGGAAGGGGCAACGTGAAATGATTTTCTAGGAGTCCCCATGCTTGGAAAGAGAACCCAACAAATTGACTAAAAGCATCATCTGTCCCCGGTTCTGTACCTCTGTCAATGTCTGGATTCTCTGGCATTAAACTGAAACTCCCCCCTTCTATTCCTGTGCTCCCAGCCCCCCACTCACAGTCTGATAAAAGGAAATCTTCAATAAGAACATCCATTTCTCCCGGCCTGGGTTCTTCCAAGTTTAATGTCCAAGTATGGATGTTCAGTCCCTTTGGTGCCCAGAAGCTGTCCCGAGATCGAGCACAAGCCCTGCCCAGTGGAGGTTCACTTTACGCAGGGCTGGAGCTGTGCAAAGCGGCAGCTCCCACAGCAGGAAAGTTGCCAAAACAACAGTAAAAAGAAGATGAGGAGGAGGTGATGTGAAAGGAAGAGCTGGACTCAGCGGGAAGAGGAGGGAGGTCTGCCAGAGGAGGGAGGGCCTGCCAGAGGAGTGTTAAAGGAGGGGCCCATCCTCCCCTCACGTGTCCTCCCTACCCGTGTCCACCAGCAAGAGAACTTTGCACAGGAAAGCCCATGCCACATGATGCTCCATGTTCAGACAGAAACCGTCCTTTCCTCTTGACACTGGATCTCCTTTATCTTTTATTATTTACTTCTTTATTTTTAAGTTTTTTATCACAATTTTTTAAATTAATTTTTTCCTAATTCTATTTTAATGGATGCAATCACCAACCACCAAGTTCCGGCCTGGTCATCCTGTCTTTCCCTGTGTTCCATTCCTGTTCTGCTACCAAACCCTGTAACATTTTCATTTAAAAAAGAAAGGGTGTCCTAGACCTGCCTTGCAGTCTCCATTTCTTCGGGCCTCATCTTGATCTGAACCCTCACGGCTACCCGGCCAGCCTCTCAAACTGTAGTGCTGAGCCAACAACACCCACGTCACTTTCCATGATTTTTTTTCTTTTTTGGCCAATGTCATTCTCATCCTCAAAAATCTTCCATTGCTAAGGAAAATAAGCCAGACACCAAAGGGCAAATGTGGCATGATACCAGAGATACGAGGTACCGAGGACCGTCGAGTGCTTTCAGACCGGAAGCAGAAAGCTGGCTGCCAGGAGCTGGAGGCAGGGGAGGGTGGAGAGTTAGTGTTTCCTGGGGACCGAGTGTCAGTCTGGGATGACGCAAAGCTTGGAAGATGGATGGTGGTGGTGCACAGTAATGTGAACACAGTAGATGCAACTGGATTGTATCCTTGAAAATGGTTAGAGCAGCCCCTGTGGAGGACTGAGTGGAGGTTCCTCAAAGCTAGAAACACTTACCCTGTGACCCAGCAGTCCCACTCCCGGGCATATATCCAGAGGGAACTCTAATTCGAAAAGACACATGCACCCCAATGTTCACAGCAGCACTATTCACAACAGCCAAGACCTGGAAGCCACCTTAACGTCCGTGGACAGATCACTCGGTAAGGAAGCTGTGGTCGCCCACTGCTGGGCACCCTAAGGGAACAGCCACGCATCTCTGTCCGTCTTGGTCCTGTGGGCCCACCAGCCTTCTCCTCACATTTCCCGAGACCGAGTCCAAGGTGGCGGAGGGGTGGGACCACAAGCTCGCCTCTCCTCGCGACTGCAGCAAAACCACAACCGAATGCTAAAAACCATCGAAGAAATAAAAGGCTAGAACCTAGCAAAGATCTTCTGCAACTGGAAACAAAAAGAGACAACCACAGCAGGAAGGTAGGAAGGGCGAGCTTGTGTTATAATTGGGCCCTGTTCCCCCTGGACGGGTGACTCACAAGCTGAAGATCTGTGAAGTCCCAGGGGCCCTCCCATAGGAGTGAGAGCTCTGAGCCCCACATCAGGCTCCCCAGCCTGGGTCCTGGCCCTGGGAAGAGAAGGAGACCCCGGGACATCTGGTTTTGAAGGCCAGAGGGGCTTGGTGCTGGGAGCCCCACGGGACTGGGGGAAACGGAGACTCCATTTGCTTGAGAAGCATACACGGAATCTCGTGTGTGCCAGGTCCAAGGGCAGAGGCAGTGATTTCACAGGAACCTGGGGCAGACCTGCGTGCTGGTTTTGGAAGGTCTCCTAGGGAGGTAGGGGATGGCCGAGACTCACCCAGGGGACATAAAAGCTGGTGTCAGACATTCCAAACATGTTCATCTACATGAGCTTTCCTGGAGGCTGACATCTTGATTGGATCATTAGCACTAAGACCCAGCCCCACCCAACAGCCTGTAGGGAAGCCTCAGGCCAAGCAACATACAGGGTGGGAACACAGCCCCACCCATCAGCAGACCTCTTGAGCCACAAAGGCCTCTGGACACAGCCCTGCCCACCAGAGGTCCAGGACCAAGCTTCACCCAGCAGTGGGCAGGCACCGGCTCCTCCTGCCAGGAACCCTGCATAAGCCCCTAGTCCAGCCTCACCCACCAGGGAGCAGATACCAGGAAGAAGAAAACAATCCCAAAGCCTGTGGAAGGAATCCACAAACACAGGCCAGACTCTACACTGGGACCAGCTGGACCCTGGCCCTTGGGTGTCAAGAGAGGAAGTGTACTGCTCGGATGCATAGGGCGCCTCCCACAGAGGGCCACCTCTCCAATGTTGAGAAATGTAACTAACCTACCTGAAAATACAAATAGAAAGACAGACAATATGAGGTGGCAGAGGAAATTCTCCCAGGCCAAGGCATAAGATCAAGTCCCAGAAGAAGTAAGTGATGAGGAGACAGGCAATTTATCTGAGAAAGAGTTTAATGATGGTGAAGCTGTTCAGAGAACTCAAGAGGAGTATAGATGCACAGAGCAACGTTTTTAGCAGAGAGTTAGAAAATATAAAGAATATCCAAACAGAGCTGAAGAATAAAGAAGTTGTGGTGTATTTACAATGGAATGCTACTCAGCCATAAAAAAGAACAAAACCATGCCATTTGCAGCAACATGGATGGACCTAAAGATTATCATACTAAGTGAAATAAATCAGACAGAGGAAGACAAATATATGATGTTACTTACATGTAGAATCTAAAAAAAGTGATACAAATGAACTTGTTTACAAAAAAGAAAGAGACTCACAGACATAGAAGACAATCTTATGGTTACCAAAGGGGAAAGGGAAAGTAGGGGAGGATAAATCAGGAGTTTGGGATTAACAGACACACACTACTATATATAAAATAGATAAACAATAAGGTCCTACTGTACAGCACAGGGAGCTATAGTCAATATCTTGTAATAGAATAACTGATAATGGAAAAGAATCTGAAAAAGAATATAATACATGCATACATATAACTGAATCACTATGCTGTACACCAGAAACTAATACAACATTGTAAGTCAACTAGACTTCAATTAAAAAAAAGGAAAAAAAAGGTTAGAACAGTAAATTCTGTTATGCATATTTCACCACAATTGGAAAAGAGAGAGATCTTTAAAATATTCCCATGGCGTTCCATTATTTACGGGACACTATAAAAAGTCTCTGTCTGGCTTTCAACACCCTCATTTTGGCTTCACCCTATTGATCCAGTTTTATTTCCTATTCCTGACAGTAATCCATTTCTTCCCATAAACCACGGAGATAATTCTCAGCAGTGCCTTTGCTCACAATGTCCCTGCTGCCCCTTTCCTCCTGGTGACAGAGGTAGGTTCAGTCCAGGCTTTAAAACCCAGCTTAGGGCATTTCATGAAAACCTCTCAAGGGACTCTGGCCTTCACCCTGAACTCTCCCTTCTCAGAAATTGGATGGCATGGTCCGGCAGCAGCACGGGGTTCAGCATGAAGCCGTCTCTCCAGGTTTCAAGATCGGGAGTCTTGTATCCATAACTAGATTATAAATTCCTCGAAAGCAATCAACCGCATCGTGGGGTCTTTTAACAGCTTCCCCAGCAGCCCAGGGAGCTTCTGAGCATAAGGAGGGTGGAGGGTATCAATCACTGACTGATTGGTGGCTTAACAATGAAACGTTCAACACTTCAATTATTCTCCTTTCAAAATCGGACGCCCCTGTGAAGGACACGCCAGGAAGGAGAATCTATTTTTCTTTGAAACAGCTCCATTCTGCATCAATCAAAATTTAGCCTAAAAATGTAACCATGCTAAGTGGGAGGTGTGTATCTAATGCAATTAAGTGACGTCCGTGTTGTCAGCTGACTCTTAAGAATGAGATACTCAGATACTTTCCACCTGAGTCTTACAGCTCAGATCATGTCATTTCTTTTTTAAATTTTTTTTTATTGAAGTGTAGTTGATTTACAGTGTTAGTTTCAGGTGCACAGCAAAGCAATTCAGTCATATGTATATATATACATACACACATATATTATCAGAATCTTTTCCACTATGACCTGTTACAAGAAATTAAATATAGTTCCCTGTGCTGTATAGTAGACCCTTGTTGTTTATCTATTTTCTATACAGGGGTGTGTATCTGTTAAATCTAAACTCCTAATTTAACCCTTCCCACTCTCCTTCTCCTTTGGTAACCATAGTTTGTTTTCTATGTCCGTGAGTCTATTTCTGGTTTGTAAATGGAATTTGTATCTTTTTTTAAGTTCCACATATAAGTGATGTCATACGATATTTATCTTTCTCTGTCTGACTTACTTCACTTAGTGTGATAATCTCTAAGTCCATCCATGTTGCTGCAAATAGCACTATTTTATTCTTTTTTGTGGCTGAGTATAAATTGTATAAATATACCACAACTACTTTATCCAGTCATCTGTTGATGGACATTTAGGTTGTTTCCATGTCTTGGCTATTGTAAATAGTGCTGCTATGAACATTGGGGTGCATGTATCTTTTCAAATTAAAGTTCCCTCTGGATATACACCCAGGAATGAGATTGCTGGATCATATGGTTAAGCCTATTTTCAGTTTTTTGAGGAATCTCCATACTGTTTTCCACAGTGGCTGCACTAAACTGCATTCCCACCAGCAGTGCAGGAGGGTTCCCTTTTCTCCACAGCCTCTCCAGCATTTATTACTTGTAGACTTTTTAATGATGGCCATTCTGACTGCTGTGAGGTGATACCACATTGTAGTTTTGATTTGCATTTCTCTGATAATTATAGATCATGTCATTTCTTTACTCAAAAATTCAGTTTCCGCTTGCCTAGGAATTATGCATCTACCTTCAACCGAGCTGCCCCGCCTTCCACACCAAGGCTTTGCAAGGCCCTTCCTCACCGAAGACCCTCCTCGCTGAAGACCCTCCTCACCTTGGTGGTGGTGGTGTTTGGGGGCTTTCTCTCATTCTGCTCCCTCTACCAAAGAATTCCCCATCATTTTGCCCCTCCCACTATCTTAAAAATCATGACTGGTTTTCAGATTTTATGTTACATATTCATTTTTTCTGATCTCTCCAACTAGACATGGTTTTCCTTCTCTGGGACTCTTCCTAGCTTTCCACCTGCATTTCTCATATTTATTGACCAGATTCAGTTCCTCGGATTGCCATGTGCCTTCCCAGATTTTAAATTCTTTCAGTCACATTAGAACATTGTCTCCAAGTCCTAGTGCCCTGCTTTATACATGATGTTTGCTCCACAAATATTTGTTGAATGAATCAGCTTCTTAACACAATAAAAGCCAGCTGTCACCTCCCTCCTCCAGCACCCTTTCCTGTAATTCAGCCACAGTATTTGCTCCAGGCTGGGACCTGGAAACCAAGAATAAATTCAATGGGGATTTATAAAAAGATTTCCCCAAATGATTTTACCCCCAAATGGGTCTATGAAATGATCGTGTTAAAAATAGAAGTTACATTTTTGGGTCACTGTGGTCACACCTGTCTGATTCAAAATCAGCTTTTGTAAAGAAAATATTTAGTTGGTAATACGTACCAGATGAGAAAAACAATGAACTTGAATATTGTAAGGTGAGCAGAACCTTTACGGGATTAACGTCCCTTCTCCGATGCAGAGCTGGCTGGGGTGTGGTCCTCACCCCTACAGGCGTAGGGATGCATGGCCCCCATCCAGCCAACATATCATCTCTCCTGCAAGTCTGCCCCGTCCAATAACTACCAAGAGGGACCTCAATTAAGTAAAATACTAAGGCAACTTGATGTTGTGATTATTGAATTAAAAGGAGAACCAGGAAATTCAGAGTTCAGACTAATTCGTGTGGAGTCTTTATGAAGTTTACATCTTTTTTTTTGGTACAGTGTCATGAGATTAGGTTTGAGGAAGGGGCTAGAAATTTCCACCCTGTCTTCAAATGGCCTTGTCTCTGGATTTATGGGCACCTCACATTTGTGACGCTCTGAAAATGGCCTAGAACTTTCTCTCCTGTAACTGCTGATCAGGAGTAAAGCCAAGGCTACAGCTAACCCTTCAGTGTCCCATCGTCCCCCACATTCCTCTCCACCCCGCTCCTGCCCCCAAGGCCTTGAGCTTTCTAAGTGTTTAGAGCCTAAAACAATAAACAAGTCTGCCTCTAGGATAAAAATAAATAAAATTTTGGTGAGGAATCAGATGTCAGGTTTTACTTTCCAAAATGGACTCTGTTGTAAACAAGTAAAGTTTTTTTTCCCCTCCTTAGTTAGCCCTTTCCTAAATGCTTGTCATTTCATGGAAAATTGCTCAGGTGATTTTTTTTTTTCCTCCTTCAAAAGTCAATATTTTCCGTCTCTAAAAATAAGGATTGCTAAAGAGGATAAAAATAAAAACTGGTGCTGGCATTCATGGGATGAGAAATTAAATGCTGTCAATATGTGTACTGATACCACAATGAAAGATATTTCACACACTTTTAAACTTTGTTCACTTTTAATTACTTTTAATCAGTAACTGATTCAGTTTTTGAACTTTTTGTAAAGATACAAATGGATTTTTTCTAAATATGTAAAAAATGTGCTCGTTTCTGGTATACAGCATAGTGATTCAGCTATATATATATATATATATTCTTTCTCATTACAGGTTGCTACAAGCCATTGAATACAGTTCCCTGTGCTGGACAGTAGGATGGTTTTTAACTTCTAAGCTTGCTATGAAGGTTACACTACCGACTTTCTTTAAAAGGAAAATTCGCAGTGTATTTATTTAAATGGAAGGGAATTCTAACGTGACTGCAGTGCACTTCAGGACACAGCATGGCTGGTTGTGCAGGAAGCTCAGCGGACAAGTAAGAGCAGCCCTGGTTGCCATAGAAATGCAGTAAGGCCAATGGCATCTTCTGTCACTGCCCACTCCGTCCTGACGTGACCCACAGTTGTAGCCACTTCATTTCACTATCCTCGTTTCTTAAGTGGAATCATCCACTGACCTGTTGTAAATTTAAGAGAGACTTCTAAAGTCCTATGAATGTCAGAAGAAACAAACACGAAAACTAGAGATATTGAGAAACCGACTTCTAACATTAGTATATTCATTCAACAAAAGACAGATACATAGAGAGGAAAAACCTAAGAGAAAGTTGTCAGGGTGGTTAGTGAATGACAGGAGAAATTCTCGGAAATTAAACTCCTCCTTAGCTGTAGCTGGCGAGGCCACCTCCAGACCTCAAAATTGAGAAGATGGAGCAGGTGGAGACCACCTGCACGACAGTTATTTACTGTAAGTCTACGAAGCAGCAGCCGGGGTGCCGAGTACCCCGGAGACAGGGATGACAGGGAGGGTCCCTGCCTCCCTGGAGGTTGCCAGGGAGTGGAAAGGTACCACTCGGTAAATACTGACCCCGCACCGTGGTGCCAAGTGCATTACATACACGAGCGAGCCCATCATCACAACCACCTCCACGACGCGCACCGTGGTGCCTGGGTAGGTGCGATAACTAAGGCTTGGAAAGGCAGTAAACCACCCAAAGAAATAGGCCAGTGAGCAGTCCAAGTGGGATTTCAACTCACATTTGTCTAAATCCAAAGCATAGGCCCTTAACTGTCAAATAAAAATGACCGACTCCATCTATGCCAAATTACTCTCCCTCGACCAAAAAGTTCGCATACACCAGAACCAGGCAATCTTCCAGGTGGAGCTTACCTGTTATCTTGCACCCGTAGACTTCAAATCTCAGAGATATACCAGTTTCCCAGGTCATAGGTTTGATTCGGACAAATCGAGTTATCAGTGGTTTGGGGAACACTCCAAACACGACGTCGGTGGGGTTGGTGTTTCCCTGAAAGATCTAGATGTAAAAAGGAAGAGCCCTTTAAATAATATACATTTTGGATTAAAAAAATTTTTTTGGTTGGATTTTTAATTAATTAATGAATTACTTTAACGGAGGGATTGGGGATTGAACCCCGGACCTCGTGCATGCTAAGCACGTGCTCCACCACTGAGCTGTACCCTCCCCGCTTTCTGTGCGTTTTCCTCGGCCTCCAAGGCAGGCTTTGAATTTCGGCGAAACAGCATGCAGGAGTTCTCAGAAATCTTTTGATGAGTCAGTCAGAGCAAGCATAACTTCCAGTAAACAGCAGGCTGAGAAAAACATCTCAGTCCCAAATAATTTAGGGCAGAGCTTCCGGGGTGGGGTGGGGCGTGTGTGGCTGCCTGGCTGATGGCTGTGAGGAGGTGGTGTGTCATTCATGGGGTCTGAGGAAACACGACGCTGCCTTTAGTCCTGTCCCTTCCCACAGAGGAAGCCTAACACGCTTGCAAATTAGTTTGGGAGCCACAGAGGGGCGATGAAAAGGAGACTTCTACAGCCAGCCCACTACAGGGAGGAAGAAAGAGTCAGTCTGCAAAAGAGGATGGGGAAACTCAGGGACAGAGACAAAACAGAGCAACTGCGCGGGTTCCAGGAGGGCTGTGTTACCCTCCGCGGGGTCCGCGTGCCTGCGGGAGTCTTGAAGTGGTTCCTGAGCCTGACTTAATCTGGCTGGCATTGACTTTTCTTGGAAACATCCGTACAATTTCCTTCTGCCTTCTGGATCTGGGAACATGAGACCCACTTGGTCAGATTTAAACGTCTAATTGCACTTTTCATTTTAAATCAGTTCAAAAGTAAACCGGGCCAGATAGCAAGCCCCCAAACTAACAAGGAAAAACTGATCATCCAACGCAAAGGCTGGACTGGGGAGGGAGGCACACTTACGAGGGGTTTATTCCCTTCCTTGATGGTGACCCAGTCTTCTCCGTTGGAGCTGATTTCAATTCTGTAAGTCTTGACGTAGTACTTCTTCTTGGTTTCCTTTGAAATGGCTCCCTGTGTCCCGACAGCGGTGACAAACCGAAGAAGACCCAGGTCCACCTGCAAGACAATACGAGCCTTGTCATTTGCCCATCCTTGGACCACCGCTGCCTGCAGCATCTTTTCCAGTGGGCACCGCAGAGCAGTTGTCCGAATTCCTCCGGCATCAGCAGCCCTGGGAAAGCGCCGAGACAAGACAGCCGCTGCCCTGGGCTGGCAGTTACTTGTTGCCGGAAAGCACTCTGCCTTTCTCCCTGATGCGACCAAGATTGCTCGATCCCTCGTACCAAAGAGAAAACCAGGTTCAATATCGGGTCACCATTTTTTCTATGAGATTAATAATACTTTGGAAGCAGCACATTAATATATGTCATTTTACAAACAGAAAATCAAGACAAACAAGATAAGCTCACAGACCGGCGACCAGGGAGGCCTGGACAGAACTTGGGTCTAACGGGATCCCACCTGCCAGCAGTCTTCAGCATCCTCCCTCCTTCCAAACACAATGTGGACTGACACAGTGCTGACTCTGAAAGCCCCTTGAGTGACATGGTTTGGGAACTGGGCCAGAGATTTTTAATCTGGAATGGAGGAGCGAGGAGGAGGGCAAAGTCAGGATTTTTGTTTCATCGAAATTTTGTCCTTTTCCACATCTTCCCGTGGCCCCTCTCCTTGGAGTTCAGCTTGAGAGGCAGGTGGATTCCAAGGCACCACCTGGGAGGAACGCCTCCCTGGGACCCCTGCTAAGACTTCTGAGCTTCTATTGGTGAGTTTCCAGTGGAGGCGGTCCTCAGCACAGTGGCTGCATCTCTATGATGGCTGGGCCGCTGGGGGGGGGGGGGGTGGGCACCGCAGGAGTGACGCCCAGGGTCCAGGCTGCACCCTAGAGGTCTGCAGGGGCTTGAGTTCCTCCCGTGGCCCTGCGATGGGAGTGGGCAGGGCAGAGAGCTAAGCTTCAGGGGCTCTGCCTCAAGCTCGCTGGGGGCCTAGGACTAGTCACGTCTCTCTCACCTCCCAGTTCTTCATTTGTAAAACAGAGGAGTGGACCAGGTCCCCTGGGAGGCCCCTTTCCGCTCTAACTTCCTATTATGTCCACATTTCCAGGGAAGTAAAATAGGTATTTGCCTTTGACTTTCCTTATTTCCGTCATTAACAACTAAGAATCATCTTTTTTTTTTTAATGTGGGTACTGAGGACTGAACCCAGGACCTCGTGCATGCTGTTCATGTGCTGTACCACCGAGCTCCACCCTCCCTCCACTCAGAACCATCTTAAAACAAACTTCATCACTAGTTTCTGTATATTCGAAATATTTTCAGTTTCCTTTTGTGGATACATTTGATTATTGTCTTACATACAATTGTCTTCCTCTACTGATCAGACCCTCCATCTATTGTATTTCTGTATAACTCATAAATTTTAAAGAAATGAAGCACAAATACATGGCAAATATTTTTTTAAAGAACAGAAGGAATTGCACATTGCAACTAATTACCAATTACAAGATATTCCAACAGGATATTCATTATTAAGAGGCTTTTTCCCCCCGAAAATGACATCAAAAGCCAATAACCAAAACCAAAAAAATTAAAAAATAAAAAACCCCTAAACACATCCCACCCACCACAACTTCTGAATCTTGCTTCCCTGTTACTACATGACAATCCAATTTCCAGAAAACAGTATTTCAGTTAACTCACAGGCCAGGAAAACCTAAAGAGTTTCCATTTTGTGTACCGCCTGCCTCATGAAGAATGACTATTGTCTTCCATGAATTGCTTTTTCCTGAAGGCCTGTGGAGTAGCCCCGGCAACACGTGGCCAATTCCTTCAAAACTGAACGAAGAGCCACGTCCAGGACAAACAGCAAAACCCCTGGCTCACAAACGCCAGCCCGAGCTCACACAATCCAACAATAGGTGATTTCAACCAGACAGGAAGCTGCTACTGTTCAGTGCAAACTGCTCTGCTTCACTTTCCTGGTTTTAAAGATGTAACAGCTGTGCTCTGAAGGCTCGACCAGATTTAGAAGAAAAAGGAGCAAGCCTTTAATAGAAGTGAATATTGTAGGATAATAATGGTGGATGTCCTAAATTTTAACTCAACAAATATTTCCCCTACGTATTTTTGTCATTAACTGAAATTTGAATATTTTTCCAAAAGTGAACTCCAGTACTTTGTATGAACTTGCGTACCAATTTCAAAAAAGAGAGGCAACCCACATTTATCAGATTTAGCAAAAAAAAAAAAAAAGACAAAAAACCAGGATATTCAGTTCAATTTGAATTTCAGATACACAACAAATAGGTTTAATATAAACACATCCCGCGCGCTATTTGCGGCATACTACCAACTGGTTCACTGCCTGCTTGAAATTCACATTCAACTGGGTGACCCCAAACCTTACTCTTTTCTGGACAAACGATCAGGTGATTTTAGGTTGCGCAAAACCTCTCTGATTGCCTCATGCTGCAACTTGAAAGCTAACGAGTGCTCTAGCCAAGGCTGCACCGAACAGTTTCAGCTGTTTTCAAATGCTCTCAGAACACTGAGTGCTCCACTGCCTGTCCACTGAGTCACGCCCTACACCACAGCCACTTTCAACCTGAACGGCCCTCGAAATCTCGACGTCCAGGGCGGCGTGAAGCAACGCCATTCAAATGAACGCTTCCTGTCACACTTACAGATGGCGCTTCGCTTTGGAAATGACTGAGTTCCCTGTGAGTGCGTGTGCAGCTCAGGCTGACTTGAAACAACTCCAGAACTTCATTCCCTGGCTGTCCTTTCCCCATTTTAAAAATTTTGTTCTTAGGGTAAGATTTAGTTACCAGGTAAGTAAGAAGTTAACCAGTAGTCAACTAGAAGAATCCCAGGCATTGGAAATAACTGACTTTAAAGGGGGAAGACAGTGCCTGAAATTAACTAGGTGCCCAACCCAGGGGCCGTCCAAAGTCCCAGCTAGACCGGCCCAAACACACGCGTGAATCCCTCGTAAAGGAGGAAAGATGCCTTCTTTTCTTCGTGGCAGTGAGATGCCTCAGCGACCGCCCCGTGGGATTGCTGGAGCTCTCGGGCTGGGCTTTCAAACTACAGGGTCTCTTACTCACAGCGCTGGGAGACTTGAAATTTCATTTCATTTCATTTTTCTTCCTCACGTGACTGCCACTGGGTTTAGGAAGGATGAGTGACAACTTCCCCCACTGATGATTAGAGTTGGCACCTGGACCACTGCGGGTAAAACGGAATGGTCGAATGGTGCCCGGAAGGCTACCAAGATACAGCCCTGCACTGTGGGGATTCTCACGGGCAGCACCACAGAGGTCCTTTTAGGTCCCTTCTATCTGGGTGCCACAGCAGCCTCAGTGCTGGGGAGTTTGGGAGGAGACAGATCACCTTCAGCCTCAGAAGCATCACTCCTCTCACTGCGGGTTTCTGCCGGGAGACCCAGAAGGACTCGACGTCTGGGTGTTTATACCTTTCTTGGGGGAGGAGCACCCCCACTAATCACGACGCTGGCCTTGGTCACCTTTTCAGTCTCACCTGCCGCATCTACCCCGTCCGACGTGTCTCCCAGCCACACAAAGTACGTTATTCCAAGCCAAGTTATGCCTTTTCTGTCTGTGTGCCTTCACAAGTAAAGTTTTTTTTTTTTTTAACCACAAGTTTTGGTCTGGTGGGCAGAATAAGTCACTTCTAACCCCAGGATTCTCAGTGCAAAGCTCAGGTCTCCATTGCTGAATTCACCATCTTGTGTTTTTCCTCTACCTCCATCCAGACTTTCATGATTTCTTTTAAGGAATCCCTGTTTTTCTTTGCAGAAAAGTAATAAATGCCCATTGAAAGTTCATAGGATGCAGAAAAGATTTGAGAAGAAATTAAACTCTCCATAAGACCACCATTAGGACAGAGGCATGGAAAACAAACTAACAGTTACCAAAGGGAAAAGGGAGTGGGAAGGGATAAATTAGGAGTTTGGGGTCAGCAGATACACACCCACTATATAAAATAGATAAACAGGGACCTACAGGGAACTTTACTCAATAGCTTGTAATAACCTATAACAAAACAGAATATGAAAAAGATATATATATATATCTATATCTATCTGAATCACTATGCTGTACACCAGAAACTAACACCACATGGTAAATCAACTACACTTCAATTTAAGGAAAAAAGAAAAAGACATGGGATGATCTCTGAAGAGTCTGGTTGTTTGGAAGCCAAAACAATCAGTTGTCGTGAACACCATTCGAAATCTGGCCATCCTCTGGGTGGGTTAGCTTCCTGAATTCTGATGGGCTGCCCCCAACCTCACGCTCTCGCAGACAAGACTGGGGACCGAAGACAGGCAGCTGGAGAGACAAAGACACAGCCCGGAGCAGCCCTGCATAAAGGCGCCCTCCGTGTTCTGGAGCGCTCATCACCCTAACAGTACCTCCTTTCTCTCTGTAAAGCTCAGACACACAATAACCATAATTAAATAACCTGCTTTCCCCAAATCCAGCCAGCCCTGCTCCAATCACTGTTTTCTTATTTTGAAAGAATGTCATTATTTCACAGCTGTTTTATTTTTAATTGGAAGAGGGTTGTGGTTTCACATCTGAGTTTGATGTACTTCTGTTTAACATTAAGGGGGATGGTGGGGGCGGGGGATGAGGGGAGGGGGCAGCACCGAGCGGCACATCAAATGCATTCACTAAAATTGTCGAATGTTTCACTACGTGTGTGTGTGTGTGTGTGACAAACATAAACATCTGGTCCTTATCTGAAGGCATGCAGACGATTTTCCAGAAGTTTACCCAACTCCTTTTGAGTTCCAGTGGCCACTCTCCGAGCTAGCTTATCACCATTAGCAGAAGTGACCCAGTTCGACATCCTGTGTCTAATGCAAACAGGAAGGTCTAACACTGCTGGGAGAGGGTCCCCCCACATCTGACTCTTCCTGGGCTCCCCCCTCAAAGAGGAGACCTGGCTGGACAGCAGACCCAGAAGATTTCTCAGCCCAGCTTTCATCCTGGGTGGGGAGAACTCCCTGCCCCCAACTCTTTCTCTGTTGTA